TTCTGCTCGCACAGAGGGTTTCCGGCCGGCTGCCGCAACATCTGCTAACCCTCTGCTGCTGTCGTTCCGCCGTCCTCACAAGCCGGTCTCACCGAGCACCATTGCCAGGTGGCTCCTCACTTCCATGTCGGATGCTGGTGTGGATACCACTGTTTTCAAGGCGCATTCCACACGTAGTGCTGCTACCTCCGCTGCCCGTCGGAAGGGCGCCTCTGTACCCGAAATCCTCAGGGCCGCCGACTGGGCGCAATCCTCTACATTCCAGAGGTTTTATTCTCGTGATGTTCCACCCTCCTCCTCTGATGGCACCACCTTCAGTGCGGCTGTCCTTGGCTGACAGTCTGTTTTCCGCCGCTCATGATTACGGCCGATAGGGGCACCAGTATTTCCACTCTGGAGTTTGCATTGTCCGTTCTGCATAGTTGGCAATGCTAAGTTGTATTTCATTCAAGTTGGTATCTACTCCTCTCGCCGTTCCGTGCGTACAGTTTTCTGATAATTCCATCTGTTCTATCATTGGCCTGTGCCATAGTGTGGGCTGATTATGCTAGTTGATCATGCCAACCACTTTTTTCCAGAAATTTGTCTGGTTCCTTGTATGGCCGGTGTGATAGTTTCTTGTTTCCGCTCCAGGTGCGGAAACGACTTTAAACAAGACATAGTTATATCTCACCGGAAACTCCGACATGCAATTTCCCATTTCACAAGCAATGGAAAATAGACCAATCCCGAAAAGATTGTCTGGGTTCGAAAGGGGGCATGTCAACTGAGAGTACACTGTACAACACATACATGGCACTACCTGATCAGCATGCGGCACAGGACGTGTTTGATAGTTCGCGTGTGAATGCAAGGGTAAGTACACGGTTTTCTCGTTAGTTGCATGCAAGAGAGACGATGCGACAGAAAGCAAAGCCCTTTGTAGTTTCTCTCTCGCACTGGTAATGGTCTGCTGTTGGAGTGGAAATGCTAAGACATAATCCTTGTTTCGCTCTTCTGTGTAGTGTGAAGAGGTCAATGAACATGTAGAGCTCACTTTGATGAAGTAGGCAAGGCTATGAGCGCTGTGGCTCAAAGCGATAGGCCCTAAATCTTACGAGATATTTCGAGTGCTATTGTTTGTTGCGAGCGCTTCGTCTTCGATGAGTCCTGCCTCTTTCCTGGCAGCTGCCCTCCAATAGGATCAACCACGAAGTGACTGTACTCATCTGCAGCCGATCAATGTTGTATTGCACAAGAAGATATCGTTTTCGCCAAGCCAGAGTGCCCCGCCAAAGACCATCGCCGTGTCACACCGTCGGAACGAGTTCATGATGAGAAACATCATTCGCGCGAGCGTGATGAAGAACTATTTCGAAAGACAACATAGTCTTTACCACCGGGACGACAACTATGTGCACGTCCTGCAAGGGGAGAATGTCACCAGCGACATCAACGAAGACAACGGCAGTATTTCGGAAACCTGGAGTCAGCGGAGGTCGTCAAGCTCCTCCGCGACCCGGTACATGTACAGTATAGGTGACATGTCGACACGAGCGTGCGGAAACACAGCATACACTGTAGTAATGTTGCGAGAGTTTGCGGAAGGAGTCCAAGTCGGGAAATCCATCAGATCCAAAAGCTACCTGTAGGTGGGCGATGAGACTCCAGCTTCAGACTACAACAGTCAGGACTTGTAAATAGTTGAACTTTGTGAAGCAGCAGATCGAGAAGTTAGCTGAAATCGTAGCTGTTGCAGTATGTCGGCGCTATGTAGCTTGCATGGCCTGCTCTAGACATTCAACTCAGCCCGGTCAGAGTGTACCTGGCGCATGTAGGCCAGGCGGGTCAAGTCGGGTCAGATCATCCTGCAGAAAAACAACCAAAGAGCCTGCTCAAAACGCAGGAAAACAGAAAGGCGAATTTATTACCGGAAATCGGAAATTTTAGAGAACAAGGCGAACTATCAAAGTCCGCAAACGTAGAAGGTAAACGACATTATGTGAAGAATGCAAAGCAGTAACATAATAGAGCACTGGGGGGGGGGGGGGGGCTGCAGCACCTTGTGGAGTGGCTGCTTGCTGCGACTGAATCACCTGCATGGCCAAGCCGACTGGCATCTGCTGCACCATCTGCTGAAAGGCTTCAGCAAACTGGAGAACTGTTGACCCAGAGCTGCTGCTGCCGCTGCTGCTGGGTGTGTGGGCCAGGTCCCTCCGTTCAGACGAAGTTGACGTTGCAGTCGTAGTGCGCCGAGTCACCTCAGAATGCCATGCAGCCATAGTCTTGTCGTAGTTAAAGCAGTGAATTCTTACCTTTCAACCACGCATCGCAACCAAATCCACCGCCGCTCGTCTTCCTTTGGAAATGCGTCTTGCACAAAGCGCATGACATGGATAGACTGCCATGGTCGTAGTCCAGCCAGGGTTGACCTTTCTTCCAAGAGTCTTGGAAAGCGTGAGTTTTTTTCTCTTCGCTGCGGGCTCCATCGTCCAAATCACCAGTCGGCTGAAAACTTGCAACTGTGTCAAAAGCTATAGCCAAAGTTACGCTTTTGACTACCTGCCCCATCGACTTCCTGCGTGATGTCCTGACTTCCTGCTCGCCGCTGGCCAGATCGCGCTCGAACCAGTTGACCCGGCCCAGTTGACCCTAGCCGAGTTTCTGTCGCTTGGAGACTGTAGTCTGTAGTGTGTAGATCTACAGTGGTACGGTTGCGCTAGATTTGCAACAGATGGGGTCCGCGAGTCGTAAAATACGGGTATTTTAGGAATCCATTGTCAGTTTGAGACATTTTTCAGCCGGGTCAGACTGGACCCGGTGTTATCTGTTCAGCCAGGTCGTGCAGTTCCCCAGCCGGGCGCGTGACCCGGCTGACCCGGCTCTCCAGCAGGCCCTGGGACTCGTCAAGCTCCTCCGCGACCCGGTACATGTACAGTATAGGTGACATGTCGACACGAGCGTGCGGAAACACAGCATACACTGTAGTAATGTTGCGAGAGTTTGCGGAAGGAGTCCAAGTCGGGAAATCCATCAGATCCAAAAGCTACCTGTAGGTGGGCAATGAGACTCCAGCTTCAGACTACAACAGTCAGGACTTGTAAATAGTTGAACTTTGTGAAGCAGCAGATCGAGAAGTTAGCTGAAATCGTAGCTGTTGCAGTATGTCGGCGCTATGTAGCTTGCATTTTTTACGGAGAGTCGATCGCCACGCGAATGTTTCTCTCCTCACCGAGAGCTATCTGGCCTCCAAACTCCGTCAGGGTCTGCCTAAGGTACCGAAGGTCCTTTGACTAGCTGCTGGCAGGACTCCATCAAATCCTTTAGCTTCAGCTCGGCGAGCAAAAGTCTCTCTCTCCTCCGCCATGAGCTGACACACACAAACGGAATACAAAACGATGCACTTATCACGTGCTGGCTTTCACGCGTGCCCCCTTTCACGAACCCAGACAATCTTTTCGGGATTGGTCTATTGTGTAGTGAAGTGGGAATTGTATAAGGAGTTGGAGGTGAGATATAACTATGTCCCTCCCACCCACCTCGTTTGGGTGTTCTCCATGAAAATAGGCCTGAAAGGGCCTTGGATGAGCTGCATCAAGTACAGCTTCATTAGAATATTTAACTTTAAAAATTGCTGTGTTCGAGCATGAAATCGCGTAAATCGCGAGGGCTAGACATAGTTATATCTCACCGGAAACTCCGACATGCAATTCTCACTTCACTACACAATTTTCCATTGCTTGTGAAATGGGAAATTCAACGGCCCTCGTACTCGTCCGGGAACCTGTAGGCTGTACCATGTGTACGTAGATCTACGTACATGTACGTCTAGTCTTGGCAGCCGGAAGATAAGGGTGCTTGCCCACCTGGGGAATACCCCCACTAAAATGGTTCCGTTGAGTTTTTACTTGGCGCTCAACTGACTCTGATCTGTCACCTGGTTCGCGGTGCACCGGTGTAGACAGACAGACGGTCACCATGGTCACGAACAGTAGATTTGGTAGAACTAGAACTCTACTATTAGCGAGGTTTTGCATTCCGAAATTCGGCAAAAAGATTCGGCACGCGGGAGCGAGGTCGAAAATGCACACGAAGATTCGGCGTGTTTGTTCGGAAAAAGCTCACTTTGCCGAAAATATTTTTCGGATGCATTTTCTTGTAGAAGGGCGCTAGCGCGTGACTTATTCAAAGAGGTTTCTTATCTCGGCATCGCTTGGCAGGCGTCTTTGGCGACATAGCATCGTCAGCTACCTCTGATTGCTCATCTCCACTGCCTGTCTACTCTCTTTCGCCTGAAAAGACTATGGCGACACGCATAAAATTTGACTTGGCCATGGAGTTGGTTTTTCTGAGGCGACTGAGGAGGCAGGTTTGGCCCTAGACTCTTTGGGCGATCAAAGTTCGATGGAATCAGCAAGAAAAGGAGCACGGGACAGGACGTTGCTGATGCTGGGGCTCACGAAATGAAAACACATCATTTTCGACTTGCAAAACAAACGTTGGTGCGAAAATTCGACATTTTGATGTTCGACAAATGACCGAAGAACGCTGTACCGAAATTCGGAATGCAAAACCTCACTATTCTTTACCTGTCTTGCGCCTGTTTTCACAAGCATGGTGCCACTCAGACTGAAACGTCAGTGTCGTTGGCATCATGCCCGTGCCATGGCATGGGCCTATGCCTATGGGCCGGCTATGCCATGGCCGTACGGGCTCAGGCACAGGTGAGAGCTAGCTGGCATGTCATTGTTGATACCCGGCCGCCATGGTCAATGTCATGTACTACAAGACTTAGTACAGTCTACATGTCATAGCTGGCATGTCATTGTTGATACCCGGCCGCCATGGTCAATGTCATGTACTACAGTACAAGACTTAGTTAGTACAGTGAGACAAGTAACGACTTACGTAACCAAGTCACCATGGTCACACGGCCCTTTGAATCTGAGCGTGAGCAGTGCAGTGGTGAGGGGCACCATGTACCACTACCAGCACTTAGTTAGGCCGAAGAAGAAAATGTTCAGCTCGTGTTCTGCAGTTCCTATTTTGGGCGTGGATTTGCAGGCAATAGTTCTTGAAACGATTTCGATTTCCCACTACTATCTGTATCAGGCCCTTTGCTTTTTTTTTGCCAGCGGCGCCTACCTAACGGTTAGCATGGCGTACTTCAGTGATTGCGATTGCGAAACGCAAGCAGGATCGTCGGGCGCTACTGCCATGTATCCGTTTGTCGACCGTCCAGTCGATTTGCCACAATCCGCTGAGACGAGCGATGGCGACACGGGAGAATGGATAACCTACGAATGGCTGCCCACGATCTTCTGGAGTGTAGGTCCTGAGTTCGGAAGTCGGGCCAAGATCCGTCAGATTCTACGTAGTCTGCGAGCGGACCAGAGAGCTAGAGGTAAAGTCAAATGTGCCCCATTCAAAAACAGCAGCGATGATAACCGTTTTATTCTCCAGGACCGTGGCTGATATCATGCTCTCTACTTTTTATCTTTTGTCTTCTGATGAACTCTCACTCCTAGCGGAGTCTGTTTCACGCAGTAATACTGTGGGTCAAATGGGCGGAAGCATTTCGGACGGATATGCCACCGTGACTGCCCCACGCGGTGCAGTTGACAACGATGTGAAGCTATCCGTAACTGACCGGTCGCCACCTTTGCCAGTCCCCTTGAAAAGCCATCCTGAAGTGTCTGTGGCCGGCGTAAGTACTTCAGTGCGTACGTATCTGTGGCACGTGTAAGCACTGTACTACGGCCAATAATAATCTGTCCCCGGGGAAAATTGCGGGAAAAATCGCAAAAAAACGCGGCATAATATGGCATCATTTGCGGTGAATTTGCGGTAAATGTGCTGTGAATAATATTGATGTGCGGCAATTTTCAGTGAGTATGTAGTGAAATCAATCAGTTACAAGTCTCTGGTGTAAGCACTCGTCATATTTGAGTAAAAAGCCGCCACAATGAGACGTTGCTGACCGAACAGTGCACTGTGTGTACGTGTAGTGCAACAAAAAAGTTCAAAAACCGCGGGAAAATCGCGGAAAACGCGGTCTTTTAAAAAATCGCAAAAAACGCGGAAAAAACGCGGCCGCGGAATCGCAATTTTCCCCGGGGACAGAATAATATTAGGCCACCTAGAATTAATTCGTTGTTTCGGGTCACTTCACTCATCCGTACCAGGGTCGGTCGGTCGGGCTCATTTTTTTATTTTATTTTTTATTTTAGTTGCGAGCAGGGGTGCATACATGTACAATTGTGCATATCGAATAGCTTTTCTCCATCAAGCCAGTCGATCAAATCTGACTGTAGTCGATCCAGCGTAGCCATTGTCCCATCAGATCCAGGTACCATCCAGGACCAGATCTTGGCCTCGCTGGCAAACGAGTCTGACGAGCAGCTCTCACCGAAGTCCTTGAAAACTTCTGTCAATGAGCGACGCAGTGGCGGAGCTGATGCTGTTTCAGGACCGATTGCAAATCGGAGATAGAAGACAACGTCGTCACCAAGTGCTGCATCCTGTCAATTGGCTGCTTCTGAGGTCGATGTCTGGACTGCTATACATGTATATTTTGGGTGGCGTGTGTACATAGTCTACCTTGTGGTCAACTGGTCATGCACATTTGCATGCACTAAAAAAAAAATTGCGGTGGGGTGAAAAAAGACGGTCGGTCGGGTGACCCGAAACAACGAATTAATTCTGGGTGGCCTTACTATGATTGTGATCTTTGGGCTAGTGACTGCGTCACGGGAGTAAAGTGATAGGCTGCGGAGTACTTTTTCTAGCAGTCAAGTAGACACCTGTGGAGATACTAAAAGGATTCGTACTCCCAGACACAACGGAGCAACTTGGGACAGGTAACCGTTAGGAGTAACTGCATTTATTAGGGGGAAGAAGAGACAGACGAACTACAAGACTACATGACGGAAGAGAGAGAGAGAGTGAGTGAGAGCGAATGCAAGATAAGGGGCCTAGGTAGCTATGGCAAATATGGGCGCGCAAGTAGCTACCCAGGCCTACAGAGCAGAATGTGAGTACGAGGGTGAGAACGGAATGCATGCAGGCCAGCTTGGAAAAGTGTGTAGAATTTATGGGAGGAGGTACCTATTAAACATACCTCCCTTGCGTAAAAAATAAAGAACAGCGACCTCGCGGAAAATAATAAGACGATGAGAAAAATAGAGAAAAAAAAGACTGAGGAAGATGAGAAAAAAAATACACACACAAGGCACGAATTGTACTACTGTAAAAGCCATTATTCTAACGAGGCACATATATAACGATTTCCCAAAATGCCGGAACGCTTTGACAGCCAAATTTGTATAGACCCAAACCGATCATCAGCGTTGATTTTTCACTCGAAATATGTTTGTGGAAGGAAACTGGCATGTTGAAGTTTGCTCTGGGGCCAGAGTCAATCGAACTGAGCCACTCCTTTGTGTTGACCCATTGCTTCCAAGTTGCCCAATTTTTCGATTCAAAAAAGTTCAAATCAGAGGTGGCTCCAAACCGGACACGTTTTAGAGTGCACGTCAAATTCACTCTGGGTCTGAAATTGCTATCGCTCCACGACGGCCAGTACAGAGTAACAATAAGCCCTGTGTGTGCTTCCATTAGTTTTGATTGGTATGCGGTGCTTTATTGGCGAGAGGCGAGCCGCTGTTTACCTGCGACAAGAAGTTGATTTTTCGAAAGTCGTAAAACTCAAGTCGCAGTGCGAAGCAACACGTCAAAAACTCACCTGCTTGGTATGGCGCTTCTGGTCATCGCAGAGCCATGAAATTTTGGCTCGGAGTATAACATATCGTAGTCTCACTGTGACATATGTTTTCTAATCAAAATACCAAGAGAGAAAGTGAATATTGAGTCCGTTCCGGTTTGCAACCTGTGTCCTATTTGAAACCATCGCCTCTACCAAAGGTAACGATTCTCACTTATTCTCAACGCTCAATAGGACAGTATAATATACTGTTATGTATCGATTTCTGTATAACGATTTCTATTTTAACGACAGATTTCTCCTCGTTAACTCGTTAGAGTTAGCACTTCGTTATATATATGGCCCAGAATCTGCGAAAACCAGGCTTAGGGTGAAATTTCACAAAATTGCTTTTCCCATTTTCAGCTTCTACTGGGCATGGGAGATCAGGAAACAAAATATTACAGGTGTGGGTCGACTCATAGTGGTTTAAACGTATCTCAAACACACCAGGGTATTGTGTTAAAAAATCCAAAAAAACACAAAATTGTTATCACAGGAAAGAAATGAAGAGAGATCCACTAGACTGAAGGAAGAGACATGGATGATTTTTGTTTAGGTGACATGACAAGGTAGGCATGTGGAGGCAGGCTTGTTGTGGCCCCTTGGTGCTGCAGGCTGTAGTGGCCATGCACAGTTCTGCATGAATTTTGTTTGCTCCTCTCTCAGCACATTCTGGGGCTGAATACATGTACGCCATGCTTTGGTGCTACACACCACAAGGAAACCCGACTCCGGTTGAGATGGCACCTTTTGAAGTGTGAATCTAGTACAATAATGCTAGGGTTTATCGGGTGTTAGCGGCCGTCGTGAGTTCCCTTCGGGAACGGATACGATAATTTATTATATTTTTTATTATCTAGTACAACTGTTCAGAAACAAGCAAGAATACAGCCTTTCAAACTGTTCCACTGTTCATAGTAAGCGCATAGGGTGCTGGCGTGCTGCAGTATCTGCTTGGTGCTGACCAGCAAGTGAAATATCGTCACGCCGTACAATCCCTTGCAGCTAGCTGTCCAGCGAGGAAAGTCTCGAGTGGGGGCCTCTCGATCTGCTCGCTCATCTGCCTGGCATTCAGTAGCACTTCATCGCCAAGGACTTCAATTCAAAACAGTTTTCACAATGCGCTTCAAGCCTTTTTCCTCGTGAACTTGCTGCAAACGTATGAGCTCTGCTGCGCGTGTTCCCTTTGCGTGAGGCCCAGAAACAGCTAGTATCTCCGTACTTCGATTGGCTGGACCGATGTCGTCCAGGTTCTCCTCGCTATCACCATCACGACTCTAAATGGAGATGATTTCTTCACCATTTTCCGCAAGCAGCAGCTTGCGCAGATATTTCGCCATCCCTGAGTGTAGGAGATGGAATCCGTTCGATCAGCTCAAAAACTCTTCGTTGTGACTAGAGGAGAAGCAAGGAATATTCTACCGGAAGCCCTTTGACTTCCCTGACTGCTGAAACCCTTCCTGCCATGACTGCTACTTCTTCAAACAAGCGGGATTCTCTTTGGTTCCACTTCACTGCACTCGATCGTCCACGCGACACAACCTTTTATAAAACAACATTTTTCTAAAAAAAAATGATTTCACCCTAAGCCAGGTTTTTGCAGATTCTGGGTCATATGGCTTTTACAGTAACATGCACCACAGTTATTGTGTTCCTGTACTTCCAAAGTATTAGTTATACGCATCACGCAAGCTAGCGTAAACATTGCCAACAACGGCGGGCCAAACACCCCTTCAAAAAAATGGGCCCAAAAAACTAGAGTTGACGAGGAACATTGCATTCTGATTGGCACGGCTAAAACAGGTTAGTTACACTTCTGCCAACATGAATAATAGAGCGTGGCTCACCATGATCGGACCCCTATTAAATATTAATTTTTTTATGAAGTACACGCACGCACACACACCACAATAAAACAATCAGAAAAATACAAGCACCTCCAGGAGCGACACTGACTCACGCTGCTATCTGGTGTTCACGAGGTGGTTGTTGCGCTGAAAACGGAGCGTCTCTGTAAGTTTGTATCCCTGGTGATGTTTTTTGCCTGGAGAGCACTATATAAGTGGTGCTCTTCAGGCACAATCTTCCTCAGCCTACTCAAGCTCAACTGATGAGGGGTGAATTCCCCGAAACACTGTATATTGAGCAGGGAGTGGTGCTTTCTTGCAGGTTTGCCGAGTGGACGGGTCGATGGACTTCTCGTGTGCTCTGGATGGCAGTCGTGAGTCAGTCAAGTGAGAATTCAAGTCGGCAGGAAAAGCGCGAGCTACCATGTAGGGAGCAATGCACAATTCCCCAGAAAATTGATGAACCGAAAAATTTGACGAAAAAGAAATAGAGAAATAATGAAAACTGCTGACCTGCATGACTTAGACGAGACGAGGTTGACATAGAAGAGACGAAGTTGAAGACGAGATGAAGATTATCGCCGATGAGAAGGATGGCGGTTGAAAAAGATTGGGACGATGAATTCAGGGTCGTGCGTTCTGTGAGAAGTCGGGTGCTAATGTTTAGATGCTAAAAGGAGTCATACTCCCAGATGCAACGGTGCACCTTGGGACAGGTAGGAGTAACGGCATATACAATGGGAGACGAAGAGATAGAAGAACTACAAGACTACATGATGGAAGAGAGAGAGAGAGAGAGAGAGAGAGAGAGAGAGAGATCGAGTGAGAACGAGTGCAAGATAAAGTGACTGGGTAGTTATGGCAAATATGGGCACGCATATAGCTACCCAGGCCTACGGAACAGAAAGTGAGTACGAGGGTAAGTACGTGGTGCATGCAGGCTAGCTTGGGAAAGGTTGTAGATTGTATAGGAGGAGGTACCCAACGCACCCTGTAAAATCCAGTGGGCAGATGCGGCCCCTATCGTGCTGGGTTTTGAGTACTCTATAACTAAGACATACAGGAGTTGAATACAGCCAGCCCACGCAACTCGGACCTATCATTTCACCGCATTTAACTGCTACGTCCACACGCAGTGTTTCTGTATTATTCCTTGTTGGCTGATGGAATGAAGTACTACAGTAAAACCTGGTGTGAGCGACCTCTGGGTTTAGCGACCACCTGCTCTTAACGGCCGTTTTTCCATGCACCGACAGCTCTACACAGACACTGTGGGACCTGGTTCTGAAGACAACCTGGCTTTTACGACCGCGTTTGCACGCACCATGGGGGTGGTCGCTTAAACCAGGTTTTACTGTACTTCGCTCGCGAAAATAATCCGGCCAATGCTGCTATCGTCGACTACCATGTGCATGATCGGCCGGATTGTTTTGTCGAATACGGCATAAACATGCTTTGTGGTGCATGTACAGTGGGTCACCATGGACGTTGCGCATGATCAAGGGAGCAGGGAGATGCTTGTTTCGTTTTTCGATTACACGTACACCGTCTCTGGTTGATTTGCCTCACTTTCTGGCGGTGAGCGCAGTGGAGTCCCATGGCGTATACATCCTCCGAGAACAGTCCTGAAATACTGAAGTGTACATACCTTAACATGGATTTCACTCATCCACTCACTCTTTTGCGGGATTTGTTTAAGGGAGGGTACATGCCTCTTTTACAGGCAAACGAATACATTTCAATGTGCCGTCAGGAAGGATTAGAATACAGGAAAAAATTCTGATAATTCGAACCTCGAACTGGATATGTCCGGTTAATTTGAAGTCCCACGGATTCCACTTACATAGAAAATGTGTGGGATTTGTGCTGATAATTCGAAGTTAGCAAAGTGTAATTCGAAGTTCACTGTACACTGTACTGGTCAGTTCAGTTGGCATGAGCAGGCTGTGCTGGTCAGTTCAGTATCCGCGAAATCTGTGTCTAAGGTCCATAGCGCAACTCTGCGTAGCCATGAGAGCATTTTGACATTCATATTGGGTTGTGGGTTCATGCTTGGATAATTAGAATGTCCGGATAATTAGAAGTTTTTTCCTGGCATTTTGAGGTTCCAATTATCAGGATTCTACCTGTACTACACAAAAAGGAAGAAAACAACTTTATACAAGAAAGTAATCAGTGGCGTATGCATGTACTTCGAAGTATACACAAAAGGCAAAATGGAGTTGTCGCAACTCGGAGTTTCTTGCTCAATGCAATCATCAGGCGACTCCTTGTATGTATGCATGTATGTATTTGCTTTTATTTTACGTCGCAAGTCAAACGGGCAATCATGCCCAATGTTATGATGACGATGGAAAGGGAGAAATGATTTTTAAAAGAACAAGATTAGATAACCTGGATAAGTGGAGCGAAGAAAAAACAGGGAGCCCAGGAATCTCTCCGGGTAAGGATCATCTTAACATTGGCCATGAAAGTGAACCTAAAAGGACGGGGGGGGGGGGGGGTAAGGCAGTGCAGTGTGTGTCCAATATCTCAATTTGTAAATTACATTAAAAATTGCTTTGCATGCTTTCCACAGAATGTAGCAATAGCTAAAGTGTAATTTCTCCTGTTCCCTATTTTCCTCCAGCTCATTTCTTGCACGCCATCTGGTCTGAAATTCAATCGGGATGTGAGGATCGAGACAGAACTGCCAGAGTACAATGCTGATATGCACCAGGCAAGCAGTGGTACACATATTTTAAATGCTATTGCCAACGCTCTGCAAAAAGCAACGGATAGTATCATCTGGCGTAGCCAGGGTTCAAAGTGCTTTGTTCCCCAAGCTATTCAAAAGATGTAACAAATAGGGGCATGGGTACAAGTAAATAGCCAAGCCTGCATTCCATGGATGTTAAATAACCAGTTTTCAGTGGTGACCAGTGAACTAACGCTTAGACGTGCAAAATAGGACAGTGATGCTTGGTGTGACGTTGGTCATGCTTTTCATCGACTGTTGCTTTCCATTCTCCGTCCATCGTCTTGCCTCGATGTAGATCTACCCTCGGCTGGAGCTCTCGTGTTCATCATGTGAAAACAAAATTCAAAAACCTACAACCTGCAAAAAGACTCCGTTACGCAGCATGCACCTGACATGTCTGAAAACTGCACTTTCAGCGAAAAAAAATAAAGGAATCGCAGGGAACGGGGCACGTGCCCCGTGAAATTCCACTACGGATATCAAGTAAAATGTTGAACGGTCTCTGCTGGGATGATGACTACACCATAGTTCAGTGATGACAGCACCGGTGGCTACAAGCGACGGTCCCTGGTTCGAGTCCTGGTGCTGACAGTCAATGTTTTATTCTGAGCTTTTCACTTTTTCAACTCCCCCAAATTGATGAATATGGAGATAAATGTTCATACTAATAGGAAGTTGTGAATTTGTTAGATTACACGGCATAGTAGGTAGCAATGCGAGAAGCTCCTGGGGCATGCGCTCCGCCCACTACGTCCAGTCACCCACCAAATTGCACCTTACCATCACAATAATAATAATAATAATAATAGCACATTTCGCGTAGTAGAGCACTAAATAAAGAAATTCAGTGTTTTTTCCGCTTCTGTCTTGTGAGCATCATCAGCTAGGTGTAGTAGCTGCTGATACTGGTTTCTCCTCGGGTGTCCATCACAACTTCACAAGTATTTCTCAGTTTCCATGATACTGCTGCATCTTAACACTGCAGTGGCCTTGTTGAAAAACACCTGCTGTCAAGATATCGTTTTATAGCCTCATGGGTATTCACTCTGATATTTCCCCATGGTTTGACACCCGCTGGGACCTTCAAATTCCCAATTGCCCAGTACTGAGTCATTAGAGAGGGTTTTGCATTCCGAATTTCGTAATGTTTTTCGGCTGTGCTTTTCCGAAATAAGTACGTGCCGAAAATTGTCATTAAATTGTCATTCAGTGTTTTGCATTCCGAAAATCTGATTCCACTTCGTTTCCAAGGGTTGCCATGCAAAACAAAATGGAGACCGTAGAAGACGACAAAACCGAAAACCTTTTGCGTCCGAATCTTACAGATTTGGTTTTGAGATGTGCTGGTCAAACAGCAGCATGCATGTGGTGTCTGACGGACTTCCTGGTGATACATGTACCAGCAAACTTTGGCTCAGACGAGGCTAGAAAATAGGAGTTGCCTGAGCAGGATCAAATCCATGTGCAGGTCAAACCGAATTTGGGTGCGGTTCGAAGACGAGGACGGACCGAGTGATAGATCGAGTGATCCAACAGCTGAACAGTCTTGTACTGTCAGTAGGACCCATGGCAGAGGAAGACGGAGTGTGAGAAGATCTAGTCAACATGGCGAGAGCAGCGAAAGCAGCAAAAACCAAAACTACACCCGTTGAAAAATTTCAAAATATGATCAGCGAGATCAGCAGAAAACAAAATACACACATGAAAAAGTTCAAATATGCCCTCCCAAACAGGAAAGAGCCGAAAATGTATTTTCGGTAAACCATGCACTTTCGCCACCACACTTCCGAAAGTTCGACTACTTTTTCGACTCCAGCCGCCACATTCCGAAAATAATTCCGAAATTTGGAATGCAAAACCTCTCTATTTTCCACTGAATTCTGTGTTTAATTTTGAAAGAATTGTGAGAACCTCCAATTCAAAGGATCAGTCAGGGAAGTGAACAGCCTAAAAAGAGAAAAACTGCCAGACTCACCAGGACTCGAACCCGGGACTTTGCTTGTCATGAGCAATGCTCTCACCATCTGAACTATGGAACCACTTTGAGCCTAGAAAGTGCTCGGACAAGTTTTTCACTCCAAAGGCAGCTCACAACACGTGCCCGACTGATTCTTTGAATTCTGTGTTCCCTCTATATTTCCTTGATTACCCTTATCATCAGATTCGGATTGTGTACATCCCTCAAGGGCACGGAAACAAGGGCAAAACTCCGCTAGAAGACTACTGCGACATCACGGATACTTGTGGACTGACGATCCGTGACGGAAGATTGAAGTTCAAAGTGGATCATTTCTCCGACTATGGTATGATTTCTGTTCTTGTCACACATGGCTTAGAAATTGCGTGGGTGCAGGCATGTCAGGCTATTAAGGTACTAGTACTCCTTTGTAGGGTCAAAAATCGAAGTTTAGAAATCGGCTTTTTTGACTCTTTCAGTGGACGCACAAGGCCCTGAACCTGTGGAATCCAAAATTTGAGGCGAATCGGCACAGTCTTTGCAGAGTTACAGGCCAGTGAAGTGCGTGGGTATGTACGATGTACGCACTGCAGCGTGACCATGCTAGCTGTCAGGAGCAAAAATGAGTACTCATGCCACGTGGAAAAAATTCAAATATTCGTTACCATGACTGCACAAAATGGCGACCCAGCGTAAAAACTGGGTTCCCTTGCGCTTTTTGCATCACAAACAGCAACTATTCTGCACTCGCTGTGCTGAGCTTGAAGATGGGAAACAAAAAAATGGAAAGGTAGATACTACGTTGCCAAAAAGAAGAAATATTATGGAAAGAAGCCTGAAACAGCTCCCGATCCTAACCCTGTTCCTGTGGAAGCGGAGCCAGAAGATATTGGACGTAGCTCTTCATTTGCAAAGCTCGTCGGCTGCAAACCCTGGTGGGAGCAGGAGACATCAGACAGCGATGGCGATGTTGGAACGGAGTCTGATACCTCACTGACCTCGAACCCAGACACGAGTGACAGCAGTGATGACAGTGATTGTTTCGAGGCTGATGAGCCCCATACTGGTGCGGGAAACGTATTTTCGACTTGGAGCAGCTGCAGGAGATTCTGCTGAAATGTGTGTGCAGTTTGTAAAGTTGGCGGTATCATTTTGGAAAAGGAGAGACAGCAAGGGCTTAGGATCACACATGGTCATATCCTGTTCATCAGAATCATGTCCTGGTGCTAATGTCAAGTTTTCATCGTCCATAAGAACAAGATTTTTTGACGTCAACCGATGCTCCGTTTTAGCTGCCAGGCCCATTGGCCGAGGACACTCTGGTCTCCAGAAATTCTGTGCCATTATGGACCTCCCCAAGCCTGTCAACAAGACGAACTTCTAGAAACACCAACAAGCTGCAATTGAGGCTGCACACACGGTTGGCGAGAAAAGCCGCAACTACGCTGCCCAGCAGCTGTTAGCAGAAAATCCCGAAGCCAGAGGCCATCTACAAGTTGCTGGTGCCTGTTTACCGAAGACTGGCAGACCAGGCACTTCTGAAACGATGCTTGCTTGGTGCCACACAAAATGCCAAAGAAGCATTCAATGGTGTCGTGTGGCGCATGTGCCCGAAGGAAGTCAATGCAGGTCGCTGTGTGGTGGAGCTCGCTGCAAATCTTGCTACATGCACTTTCAATGATGGTGCCATGAGCCTTTGTCAAGTTCTTGAGAGAAATGTCGTGTTCTGTTGGCCATAACACCATCAAGGCACTGAAGAAGGAGGATACGGACCGCATTGCACATGCCGAAGTGGCCAGTTCAGCATTGCAAAAAAGCACAAGAAAGAAGAGGAGAAGAAAGAAAAAGGGCTGGGAAGAGCAAAGAACAGAGCAAGAAGGTGTCACATATGAGGCTGGTGGATTTTAGCTTGGTTTGGTGAGGTTTTGTTGCTGACATTACAGCTTATGCCTGCATTTTTGTCTGTTTTGGACCCCTTTTTTTCACTATTTTTAGCCTACTGCGAGTGTGTTTTCTGAAGTTTTCTCTTGGATAAAGTGTCTGGACACCCCCCAAAGTATACATTTTTGGAAAGGTGATGCCCAGGCCTAGGGCACCTGGGTGTTTTCAAGAGCAACACTTTAACTGGAACAATCTTTGCCCTCTCTCAAATGTTGCAACACGGTCGCGTATTATATATGTTGTTTTATAAGGTGTATTGTGCGTCCTTTTTTCCTTTGGATGGACTTCTGCTGACCCAGGTGCCCTTCCCCAGACCTAGATGGTTTGGATCCAACAAATTTAGACCCATCAAATAGTCTTTTCCTGGACATTTTTTTAAGAAAATGTGTAGCCCGTCATATCGACAGAAAGTGTACATTCTGATTTACATTTTCCAAGGATCTCGCAAAGCATGACAATATATTTTCTGCTGTTGCAATCACTACCCTTTCATCTGTGTGTGGAGAAAATTTGGAGTGATTTGCTTGTGTGGGACCAAAGTAATGCCTGTTCTTGTGCGGTCGGCCCAGATACAGCCGCGAAAAGAGTACTAGTACCTTAAAGGGCCAAATTTCCATTGCGGTACCGTGAGTGCCGTGCCGATGATTTCTGTGGGTCACGTGTACCCCACAGTGCGTGCTTGAAGCTGAGAGTGGTTTACACATGCGCACAGTCGTTCCGTGCATTCCGTTGGCAGGGTGAATCACCATTAACAAAATTCCTGACTTTGATCTGGAGGGAAAATAGCAGAGGAGATGACCGGAGAAAGCTCCAAAATCAACCAATCGATAAGACAAAAGGCAAGAAAAACTTCGTATCACAAATTAATACAAGGTAGAAAAAGCTTTGTTTGACTTCCTATCAGGGAGTAGTAAAATACCTACTACTCACTGCATTCGACCTCACGGAATACCACGGCATGCCGTTCACCCCCCCCCCCCCCAGAGGCCCAAGGCGCGGTACGGCACGAGCCACAGAATGCACTCGCGCCAAAACTGCCCCTCACGTGATCAAATCACCATGGGTATTCAGTGTACTATTCACGGCACGGCAATCATGGTACTGTAGTGCCGGGTTCCACTGCGGCTCCGCTGCTCGGCGACACTTGGCTGCGCCTGCAGTGGAGCAGCACGGTTCCACTGCGGCTCCGCTGCTCGGCGACACTTGGCTGCGCCTGCAGTGGAGCAGCACGGTTCCACTGCGGCTCCGCTGCTCGGCGACACTTGGCTGCGCCTGCAGTGGAGCAGCACGGTTCCACTGCAGCTCCGCTGCTCGGCGACACTTGGCTGCGCCTGCAGTGGAGCAGCACGGTTCCACTGCGGCTCCGCTGCTCGGCGACACTTGGCTGCGCCTGCAGTGGAGCAGCACGGTTCCACTGCGGCTCCGCTGCTCGGCGACACTTGGCTGCGCCTGCAGTGGAGCAGCACGGTTCCACTGCGGCTCCGCTGCTCGGCGACACTTGGCTGCGCCTGCAGTGGAGCAGCACGGTTCCACTGCGGCTCCGCTGCTCGGCGACACTTGGCTGCGCCTGCAGTGGAGCAGCACGGTTCCACTGACACTCGCCATTCGCATTATGCGGTCGTGCACCACGGCATTATGCGGTCGTGCACCACGGCATTATGCGGTCGTGCACCACGGCATTATGCGGTCGTGCACCACGGCATTATGCGGTCGTGCACCACGGCATTTTGCGGTCGTGCCCCACGGCATTATGCGGTCGTGCACCATGGCATTATGCGGTCGTGCACCACGGCATTATGCGGTCGTGCACCACGGCATTATGCGGTCGTGCACCACGGCATTATGCGGTCGTGCACCACGGCATTATGCGGTCGTGCACCACGGCATTTTGCGGTCGTGCACCACGGCATTATGCGGTCGTGCACCATGGCATTATGCGGTCGTGCACCACGGCATTATGCGGTCGTGCACCACGGCATTATGAGGTCGTGCACCACGGCATTATGCGGTCGTGCACCACGTTTTCTAATGATGTTCTACCTGCCTGCGAGCGCAAGGAATAAAAAAAACCTTGGTATTCTGGCCTGCACAACGAATTAAATTCTGAATTTTGAAATTCTCGCGTACAAACAATGCAAAGTACGGGAAACAGGTTGAGCCGCGACCACGGCTCGCAGTTTTTGATCAAGAATCGTAGCGAAAGCTTGTTGCGAGCTGCGGCCTCGCTGCTCCAGCTCGAGCCGCGGTCACTATGGTAACGGTGACGTTTCAAGCCGCAAATGACGAGCAGCAGAGCTGCATAGGAAAGCAGCTCTAAGGGCCAGTTTCCACTGCGGCTCCGCTGATATTTGATCAAGAATCGTAACGAAAGCTCGTGATGAGCCGCGGCCTCGCTTCTACAGCTCGAGCCGCGGTCACTATGGTAATGATGACGTTTCAAGCCGCGGATGACTAGCAGCGGAGGAGAGTAGCCGCAGTGGAACCCGGCCCTTAGAGAAGAGAAAGAAGAGGTACAGTGTGCAGCAAACTGGATGATTCGGTGTAGGTATGCGTGAGCCGTCATCACGTGACGCCCCATGGCTGGCCCAATCCCGTACGTGTCCCGTACCGTACGGCAAAGACTGCCGGCCTCATGTTGAAATAGGGCTTTCATCTGCAGGATCACAACGTGAAACAACTTGGTAGAAGGTGTATGCATGCGAAGTGTATCGAGGGAATGCATGCAGCATAGGGCGATAGTGCGGGTTCGCATCCAGGTTATGAGCGGAAAAACATTGAAAAAATGAAATAAGCTAATGTCATAGCATAATGAGAGAGTTTGAAAGCTCACGGTTCTCTCTATGCTTGTTTTGCCTAGGTCATCATGCATATTATTCGAACTGATGGAATCGTTTTTGCAATGCTCTCATCGGCTACAGCATTGTATTGCAAAAACGTTTCCATCAGTTCAAACAACGCGCATAACATAGTGTTGAAGCGAGCGTATATATAACAAACCAGCGAACAGTTCCACTAAGGAGGAAGCTATCGAGTGAGCTAACGAGTTTTACTCATTGCTATTTTACGACTATTGTCTTCTCGTCGGTTATTGAAATCCTCTACTTCTCTACATTATCAGGCAAAAGATTCACATACATGCACACACACGCAAACATGCATCCATGCAAACAGACACACAGGCACATACAAACACACACACACACACACACACATGCATGGAATGCTGGACTGACATCTTCCATTCTTCCACAGTAAAACCTGGTGTAAGCGACCTCTGTCTTTAGCGACCACCTGCTCCTAATGACCGTTTTTCCATGCACGAACAGTTCTGTACAGAAACTGCACCGGATACAGCGACCACCTGCCTTGCGCGACCAGCGACCGACTTTTAGTGTACCCAGTGCCATATTCTGCGCACAGCGACCAAAACTAACCAAAAGTGCCATCTTGGCTGGCAGAGTCGACTGCAACAGGGTTGAAGTGCGCTCTGAAGCAAGTGGATGCGGTCAACTGAGGTGACAAGTGACAGTGCAGAATGCGCTGCATGCACCCCAGTGCGGTGTGCTCTTCCTACACGAAAGTATTCTACGCTCCACACCTGTCAATATGAGTACATGGAAGTACAATCATGCACATGTATGCATAATCCGATATACCACGAATGTATGAGACCAGATTCTAAAGAACACCGGGCTTTAATGACTGCTTTTGCTTGCACCGTAGGGTGGTCGCTTCAATCAGATTTTACTGTATGTGCCTGCCCTTTCCGTTCTTCTACACTTCTGTCCTGTGTTTCCAGCTATTCTGCTGTTTGCCGTGGCTGCGAGCGCCATAGCTGGAACCATAGCAGGCACCGTACTTGGTGCTACTGTGACCTATAGCATCATGCAAGACCTACAAGGTCACGTGTCGACTGTTCGTAGCGCCACCATGATGGTGAAGGCCTACGTGACATTCAACGCACGAAGGGCCCCAGGCAGCTTTAAAGTTGCATTCGGTGCTCATGAGGACGAGTTTGAGGACTACGGGCATTTTCCTCTACTGGAGATTGGTCCAATGGATGTGTCGTCTTGGACCGGTAAAGGAGTGACACTGAAGCCAACCATGGATGAAGGGTCGTGGAAATTTGCGAATGCCAGCCAATGTGCCCGCCGCTTGTACACGGTCGATTCACCACCTGTTGTGCTGACGATTACGACAAGGCTCTTTAGATGGACATCATTGGACGCTTCGAGGTGTAGTGGGAAGCTCACATTGCTCGACTCTTCAAACCATCGGAATAGTGAGACTCACAGCTTTATGTTTCTTCCACCATATTCGGATGTCTTTTTTGAAGGTAAGGGACTAAATTCCAGTGAAAATCATTGGGCTTTTTGGGATCGCTGTTGCTCACGTCAGTGAATAGGATAATGTATCCAGCTAGATGTAAGATCAACTGTGTGTGTGTGCAGGGGCGTCGCACGCGGTACGGTCACTACGGTATTGACCGTACCACTTTTTGCCCTGTTGTGTCCTGCTCAAGGCAGACCAACTCTTCGAAAGATGAGAATGAATCATCAGTAAAACGCAATGGCTTTTAAAGGGAAGCTGGCTGCAAAGGCGGCTTGAAAGGTGACATGTGAATGTGTTATGTGCAAGGCGCCAGAGGTACAGCAGTGCAGGGCCTAGGGTGCGAACAGTAGCACTAGCAGCCTGAGTGCCAAGACCCATGCAGGGAAAGGTGCTACAATATCACCACATGCCCCCTCGGCTTAAGTGCGACTTGGGAGCACTAACACAAAGAAAATCTTGAAACTGAAATTCGAAAATCACAGCGTAGCGCACAAGCAACAAGGAAAAAGCAAGAGAAGCATGCCCAGTCAATCTATGCACGTGGCCGGAGGAACCGTCTGTTCCGCCAGAAGCTGGACCCCGTCACTGTCTGCACTGTGTAGCTCCGTCCTCTTCTCGTGCATTTTGTGACCGTTCCTTCCATATCCCAGCGTTTTGAAGACTGGTTCTGGATCCATACCTTATCGCCTACGTGCAGAGGGGGCAGAGGTTTGCCAAGCTGGGATGAGACCTGCTGGGGAGCACTGCGGCTGTGGGCAGCGTACTGCTGCAGATTTGCAGGAAGTGTGGGAACCTTGGTCCTCGTTGGCCTTCCAAACAGCAGCTGGGCCGGGCTTGCTCCTCCTGCACCAGGCGTGTTACGCCACTCCAGCAACCCTTCTCTGAAGGCACTGCTGTTATAGGCGTCACCTTTGCCAATTTTCATTAATAAGTGCTTCATGGGAGAAGAGGTCCGCCGCTGCATCTTCGAACGGTCTGGACGGACGACTGTCAGAGAGGAGCGGCTCAGAAGGTTGGGAGGGGAGCAGCGTGATGCAGGATCTGCAAGTCTGGACGACGTTCTTAACGTCATTGGAGATCTGGGGCCAGTACACTGCTTGCCTGGCCCTGCGGAGTGTGCGGGTCTGTCCCTGATGAGAAGCGTGAAGTTGCTCCAGCGTGGTCTGGCGTAACCTTCTGGGAACGACAATACGGTGGCCCAACAACACTATGCCGTCCTCGACCGACAGGTCATGCCGAACCTGCCAGTACGGGTGCAGATCGAGGTCCAGAGCAGCCTTGTCCACCGGAAAGCCGTTCTGTACGGCGTTCAGCAGCTTGAGGTATTCCGGGTCCGTCGAGCCCTCCGCCCGCACCTTCGTAATGCCAAGGTCGGGGAGGACTGTATGGCCTGTTTCCTCGTCCTCTTGCGACAGCTGACGGAGAACACAGTAGCAGTGCTCGATTTCTTCCTCACCAGCTTCATCGTCAGGGTCTGGTGCACTTACTGGGTGTCTCGACAGGCAATCTGCGACCTTGTGATCGGCACCCGGTCTCCACTGAGCCACGAACCGAAAAGGCGTCAGCTTCTCCCGTAGTCGCACGATTCGTGGAGACGTCAACTCATCCAGCGTCTTAGCATTCAGGATAGGAATGAGCGGCTTGTGATCGACTAGCAGCTCGAAATCAGCACCGGCCAGGAACAGTCTAGCCTTGTGGACTGCCCAGACTACCGCCAGCAGTTCAATCTCCGTTGCAGAGTACCTGGCCTCGGTCTCAGTGACGTGCCGTGAAGCACATTGCACTAGACGCCACCGCCCGTCCACTTGCTGCTGCCACAGTGCCATGCCGAGACCGTTTGACTGCAAGGCGTCTGTCTCGAGACGAAGCGGCTGTGCAGGGTCGAAGGTAGCCAACACTCGAGGGCTTACCAGCTCCTCTAGTATAGCTGTAAATGCCTGCTGCTGCGGATCCTCCCAGATAAACTCATTCTTTGGAGAGAGCAGAGAGCGGATCGGGGATAGAAGCTCCGCTAGTCGCGGCGTGAACGCGTCGAACTGCTGCACGAGTCCACAGAAGGATCGGATATCAGTGCGGTTGGTAGGGATTGGAAAGTTGTGTAGATCCTCCACCAAGCTTCGATCAGGACTGTAGCCGTCCGGCGTCACCACGAATCCGCAGTACGATGCTCTGGGTGCCGCAAAGACGAATTTGCGGCGGTTCAGTGTGATTTGGTTCTCCGAGCAAAGCTTGAGCACATTGCGAACCCTCTGGGTGTGCGCCTCAAGCTCAGTGTCGTACACGATGACATCCTCTACCACTTTCTGAAGATTCGAAAACCCGGCGAACACTTCGTCTCCTCTCCGGTTGTGTTCGTCACCTGCCGACACCAAGCCCATGACGTTCCGCTTGAAACGGTAGGCACCCCATGGCGTCATGAACGTTGTGAGCCTGGTGCTATCGTCGTCGAGGGGTACCTGCCAGTAGCCATGGCGAGAATCTAGGGTGGTGAAGTACTGCATCCCCATTGGGATCGACGCGACGACTTCCCGAGGTACTCGGGTTGGGTATGCCGGCCTCTTGACCCATTTATTTAGACCCGTCAGGTCCACCGTGATGCGCGGCTCACTGGAATTCTTCTTAGGGACCACCACCAGTGGGTGGCACCAAGTGTATGCTTCGCCGACAGACACCTTCTCAATGACGCCCTTGCCCACCATGTCGGACAGCTGGTTCTGCACAGCGTCCCGCCACCTGAATGGGATGGAGCGAGCGCGATACAGGCGGCATGGCGACGCGCCATTGATGAGCTCGATGCGCATCGGCTCACCGCTCATGGGCTTGAGCGGGGTATCACAGAACACTTCTACTCTTCCAGCAAGGTACGTCGGATTTCCTCAGCCGCCGTCGACGCAGTACCTACTGACGTGTCTGCGACTTTGGATGCTTGCTTCCGAGGGATGGAGATGTTTGCCACGCTTTGTACCCTTAGACGGGAGTGAGGCCATCCATCCTCGAGAAGCCGCAACTTCATGCACGTGTCCTTGCTGAGCAGAGGTGTCTTCAGCTGCCGGAATACGTGCAGGGTCGACACGGCGGTAGTGTCGCTCAAAGACAACTGAGCCTCGAGCTTGCCCATGGAATCCAAAGCTGTGTGGTGATATTGTAGCACCTTTCCCTGCATGGGTCTTGGCACTCAGGCTGCTAGTGCTACTGTTCGCACCCTAGGCCCTGCACTGCTGTACCTCTGGCGCCTTGCACATAACACATTCACATGTCACCTTTCAAGCCGCCTTTGCAGCCAGCTTCCCTTTAAAAGCCATTGCGTTTTACTGATGATTCATTCTCATCTTTCGAAGAGTTGGTCTGCCTTGAGCAGGACACAACATGGCGCAGCAAAAGACACGAACCTCTGTCAAGGCCAAGGCTGAGGAAGCAGCAGCAATCAACGACGGGTTGACAGAGCGGATGCAGCCAGGAACTCAAGAAGAAGGAAGCCTGCTGCAGTCTATCGTCCAATCCCTCAGCCAGCAGCAGCAGATTCTGCTTAGGCTCACAATGGCGCAGTCAAGCCAGCCTGCCGGCAGCGGCCCGCCACCATCCACCTCAAGACAGCCAGAGGTAGGGCCGTGGGCCCGGAGAGCGGAAATACCTCACCTGCCCAGTCCAGACTCGATAGACCTAGCTGGTTTCCTCGAGTGGAAAGTCAAGTGGTCTGACTACGTGTCGTTGACTGGGCTATGCAGAGACGCAGGTACAGTTACACAGCAAGCAGTTCTCCGTACAGCTCTCAATGATGGTTGGGTGTGGCTGTGGCAGGCGGGCGTAGTTCCCATAGCCGACGGCGATGATGAGCGGGTTGCCATCCAGAAGCTGGAAGCTTTCCTGAGAAAGCGAAGAAACCCGTTACTGGACCGCAAGGCCTTCCATGGCAGGAGCCAGAGACAAGGTGAGAGTATCAGCCAGTACTTCTCGGGTCTGTCTCAGCTGCATGATGCGTTCAGCTACCCAGATAGTCTGCAGTGCGGCAGATGTGGGTCACTGTGCGGCCATGAGGCCCAACTTCGGGAAACCCGGCTCCGCGACAGGCTCGTCTGTGGCCTAAGGGATCGAGCGATGCAACGACGGGTGCTCGAAGAAGAGTATGCCAGTGAGTTATCGCTCGATCGGGTCATGCAGATATGCTCTGCATACGAATCCTCTACCGATACAGAATCTGGCCTCGGTGAGCAGCTGCCCGACCTGGCGTTGGCGGCGGCAACGAAGTCCCCTTACAAGCGTCAGCAGGCGCAGGCAAAGACGCTGAAGTCGGACGTAGGCACGTGCAGGTTTTGTGGGGAGACTCACCCCAAGGGCCAATGCAAGGCCTATTACCAGACATGCCGCTTGTGCCTCAAGGTGGGTCACTTTGCTAGGGTTTGTCGACAGCGGACCTCGCCCTCGCCAGGAACGACGTCTGTCGACTCGCTGTTTGTCAACCAGGCTGGTCCTTCTAGGAACAAGCTGGTGACGGTTGGCGTCGCGATCCAGGGAGGATCGTCATGCGCTATCGGGTGGCTGCCGGACACGGGCGCGGATGTGGACGCCATCAGTCTTACCGACCTGGATGGTATCGACCCAAGCCTCAGGATGAATCTAGTGCCGGACACAGCTGATGTCAAGGCAGCTAACGGTACAGCAGTGCAGGGCCTAGGGTGCGAACAGTAGCACTAGCAGCCTGAGTGCCAAGACCCATGCAGGGAAAGGTGCTACAATATCACCACATGCCCCAGATACCCCGTGAATCAACAAAATACACTGATCTAGGATCTAAAATTCCAAAATGTTCGGCTCAGCCAACACTCCCCCACGAGTAAATTGTACTTCGGGGGCCTACACTTCCGAGGTGCAGTGCGTGCCTAGGTCACCATTTCTACCTGGCCCGCTCACATATGCATTCGGATGCCTGCTACTGGGCGTTTCTGGCAATGTGTTGTGTGCCTGCTCTCCTATCCTACATATTATTTATTTCTAATTTGCTCTGTTTTCCTCCTGCTCATTTTTTCTCACTTCGTTTTTTTTCTCTGTTTGGCGCGCATGAGCAGTGCTGAAACCGAGACCCTTGGTCGGTTGAGCTGCTCTTGCCCCGCCTCCACTGCTTCGGCTGCCATCCCTATGTGTATCCCTGTGTGATTTTGCCAGTGTTTGCACCATGATGGTTTGTGGTTATTTTGTAAAAAAAAGAAAATAAAAAATCAGATGGCTGACCGTATCACACTAAAATACCTTCCGACGCACCTGGTGTGTGTGTATGTGTGTATGTGTGTGTTTGTGTGTATGTATGTATGTGTGTGTGTTTGTATGTATGTATGTGTGCGTGTATGTGTGTGACCAACGCCCAACTTTTGGAGATGTGGGGTGACACTGATACCATCTGCGTGAAGGTTGCACAGCGTCGGCTAGAGTGGCTGGGCCATGTTGCCCGGATGGACAGTAGCTATAGATGCCGAGACAGATCCTGTTTGGCTCACTTCCCACACGTCTCCCAGCACATGGCCTCGCAAGCGCTGGAAGGATTGCGTTGTGTTCCACCTAAGAGTCCGTGGCCTCACCAAGGACTTGTATCCTATCGCCTGTGAGTCCTGCGCTGGATGGCGGGCTATGTATGCCGAGCCTGTGGAGAAAGCACCTCAGCCTGGCCCAGTGGTATGTACGGATTGCAAGCGGTCATTCTCGCACCCTGAAGATCGTGCTCGCCATAAATGTGTGGTTATGCGGGCCAAGCCGATTGCTGAGCAGCGAGGGGCTTGCCACTGTGGGGACTGTGGGCGTTGGTTTCGCAGCAAGGGTGGCCTAGGCTAGGTGTTCACCGCTGTTCCGCTCCTCAACCTCCCGAGCCCTGTCAAGTCTATCTACAGGATGCCTGCTGTGCTGTGCACTGTGCTGTGTGTGCCCGCTGCTGTGGGACTGCGCAAGGCCGCGGTCGTCACTGGTGCTTGAGGACTGGCCCCCGCCCGACTTGCCAGCAGCGTAATTCATTCACTCATGTATGCGTGTATTCTTGCCGGTTCCGTTTGCTCCACCATCTCCGGCGTGATCAGGCTGCATGCTCCATCTTCCTCTCTGATGCCCCTCCGGGGCCCATGTGACCCCTGTGGCAGTGGCTCTACAGGACAGAACAGGACGTGTGTGTGTGTGTGTGCACATGTGTGTGCACGTGTGTGTGTGTGTGTGTGTGTGTGTGTGTGTGCATGTGTGTATGTATGTGTGTATCGTGGGCATTATGCGGCGTTCGCTCGACGGGGAGCTCGTTGGGAGGGCATAGTTTGATGCGCTCCCCATGATATCAAGCAAATGGCCGAGGGCCCTCTTGATTGGTGTGAGTTGCCAGTATGATGCAAGCCAGATACGGATTGATCGAAGAAGGATAGATTTACCATCACTGTGGATAAGAGTCATACTGTAGCTCAGTTGGGTAGAGCATTGCTCGCGAAGAGCAAGGTCCCTGGTTCGAGTCCCGGTGGTGTGACTGATGATTTTTCCCTTCTTTCATATCTGGCTTGCAAGTGTTGAGTTTCGGAGAGAAAAGAGCAGTACGTGGCATGTGGCCTCTGATTTCCTAATACTTCGAAATTCTCCGTGAAGTCCAAATTTGAAATTGCAATTAAATTTGTATTTGCTCGCAGTGGACATAGTTTGATGCGCTCCCCATGATATCAAGTGAATGGCCGAGGGCCCTCTTGATTGGTGTGAGTTGCCAGTATGATGCAAGCCAGATACGGATTGATCGAAGAAGGATAGATTTACCATCACTGTGGATAAAAGTCAAACTGTAGCTCAGTTGGGTAGAGCATTGATCGCGAATAGCAAGGTCCCTGGTTCGAGTCCCCGTGGTGTGACTGATGATTTTTTCTTTCTTTCATATCTGGCTTGCAAGTGTTGAGTTTCGGAGAGAAAAGAGCAGTACGTGGCACGTGGCCTCCGATTTCCTAATACTTCGAAATTCTCCGTGAAGTCCAAATTTGAAATTAATAATAATAATAAGTTTACAAGTTATCCGTTTTGTCCAACACTAACGATTATAAGCAGAATAGTGTTGAGTCTGCTTATAAGGGTTAGTGTTGGACAAAACGGATAACGTGTAAACTTATGGTCCTCTTTTCTTTTCTTTTTAATCCCTGGCTCTCCATCCGAGTTTAATTTTAATCTCCTTATGATCGGTTTTTCGGGCCACTTTGTAGTCGTGCATTGTACTGTTGAGCCACCAAAGTAAAATAAATTCAATAGAGAGGTTCTGGAGTACGATTTTTCGTGCCAAAATCCGTAGAGGCGCTACGGATCTTTCATAAGTCGTTTTCGCGCAGTAAATTGTTCCGGAGTAAGGAACTTATGTGTTTGCCGTCATTGCCTAGGTTACGATCGCAAACACGTCACATTCCCGCGCTATGCCTTTTTTTGAAAATTTGTACCGAAATCAAAACTTCCAGCGGAAAATCGATGTTTCTCGCACCAAATTTGTACGCGAAAAATCTTTCTGCTCTCGATGACGCAAAATCTCCATTCGAAACATGGTTCGTATGAAAGCCAGTCCACACGGATTCTCCGTGCCGAAAAATCGTATGGAGTACACCTCGAAAAAATCCGTAGCGCCCATACGGATTTTGGCACGGAAAATCGTACCCCGGAACCTCTCTAATACAATCTAAAAAATACGTGCGCCCGGATACGACGAAGCTTTTTGTACACATTTCAGCCAGTTTGTACACAAAATCATGAACCGGGATGCGTATTGCGAGGTCCGGTAATGTTGTATGCGTAACGCATGCTGCACATCGGTAACGAGCCATTTTCTTCCGGATGGCGAGGGATCCGGGTAAAAGAGGACCGGATAAGCGAGGTCTGAATGTATTGTTGTTCTTGTGTCATGGTATGACTGCGTACACATTTTTTCTAGCGTTACTAGAATCGTTGTCCCCTTGCCGGCTGTTTTGTCATTATTATAATTTTTTTAATTATGATTAGGGCTATCCCAACCGGCCTAAGGCCTTCTTACAGGGTACCCTATGTGATCAAGTACAGATTTGCGGAATAGATAAAACAAGGAGCAAGAGCGAATGTCAGCTGGGAGAGAATTCCAGCAGTCAGAAGGCAGAAAGCTAAACAGAGCTCGGGATTCGAACCCGCACTATCGCCCTGCAGGCATTTCCCTGATGCACTTCGCATACATACACATTCTTCCAAGTTGCTTCACGTGTATTTCGATCTTGTTTGTTAATGTTATGCTACTGATCATTATGCCATACTTTCACTTGCAACGACTAACCCTTCATGATGTCGTTCTTGAATGTCTGCTTTTTTCACTCCAATGAAATTGCAGCATTTCATCCGACCAGACGTGATAATCCATGGTTCGACCCTCGCTTCAACTCACGGCAATACTACGTGTTTGTTCACATGTTGGATCCGACACTGCTGCGCGTGCATGCTACCGACCGAGGACTCCTGACGCACCGCCAGTCTCAGCAAATACAGGCAAGTAGTAACCCAATCGACGGGACATCTCTCCTGATAACGATCCTTGTGCAGCAGGGCACACCGTCCTTCCGTAGCTTTCTCGATGTCCTTTCAGACATGGGATACCAGGACAAGCGGCTGGAGTTTGAGGAGCTACTAACCCCGCCTTCAGCAACCTAAGTCCTGCCTTATAGTGTAGACACTAATACGGAAATTGGCCCGGTAAAACTGTCCCAGGAAAATTGCCCTGGAGCCTTTGCCCTAAGCCCAGCTTCTAAAATGTAGATGGCGACTGTCCTGAAACATGTTGAGTATGTTCTTACAGCCTTTTATTATTGTTATTATTAAAATGCCTATGTGGAGATAAAAATGTAATTAACGTAATAACTAGAGCAAGCTCAAGTAATAATGTGCGTTCAAGGAATGATATACATGAAAACAAAATTTACTTATGGTGTTTATACTGAATGCGCAACTTGCTCTATTTATTGCGTTACTATTTTTTATTATTACCTAAAGAGAAAAAGGACCTATAAGCTACTAGTTATGACTAACAGTCCACCAAGGTAACCAAGGTAACGAGATAATATACAATGTACAGTCAGATAGTGCGACAACGAGGCACAAAACTGACAAAGACATTGAGACATTGTAGGTCTTTTTCTCTTTACATATTTCTATTGGCTCAACATCCGAGTTTTTATTATTACCGGTATCATCAAATTTTTAATAGGGGGGTTACTGGTCTTATACTCTGCATTACTGCGATATGCTGATGCTGTCCAGCTAAATACCTTGTACATATCAGATTAATTATGAGATTTCCCTTTTTATTTTAAATATGAGCTTTAAAGCTCCATCCTGGATGGACTGCCAATATTAAAATTAATAATTTTGTGCATACTAGCATAGCAGCTCCCTTCCCTGACTGTGTACGTTGAACTTGAAGTAATCCAATTCCCATTCCGTTTAAACTCGGATAGAGAGCCAAGGATTAATAATTTTTTTTAAACCCATTTTGACTCAACCGTATCCTGCTTATGCTCTTTAGTGTTGGGCAAAGCGGATAACTTGTAAACTTATGGTCCTCCCTTTCAGTAATAAACCAGCAATGGTGATAATTATTTCTTCCCGCTTGGGCGTGTTCACGTTTCCGAATTTGTTTCGTGTTTACTACTGCTGTATTCCTTGAAATACCATCTTCAATACTGAACTTTGATCTCACTTTGTTTTAACATGTAGGAGAAATGTATCCAGGGTATTTGGTGTGGAATAAGTGACAGAACGAAGTCCAACGAAGAGTCTTGCATGAGTACTCCGCTCGGGGCTGGGACTCTTACCTGGGTGTGTGAGCTCACTTGATATGCAGCCAGGCACGTTTCGTAGATCTACGGGTGCGGACACAACGATCCACCCTTTCGCGCACATGCTGACAGCATATCGACCGGACTCACTTGGTTACCACTGAGAGAAAGAACAAACGAGCACGATATACATGTATTCAGAAACCGATACAAGTAAAGGACTTTAGCTTATAGAGTATATCACAGCCATCTACAATATCATGTACATGACTGTACAACGTCATGTACTGTCATGGCAAGTGAAATCCGACCCCCTTGCCGGCGCGGCGTGCCGGCAAGGGGGTCGGATTTCAGTTGCCAGTACTGTACATGTACAATGTCATGTACTTCGAAGTAGATAATACATACCACCCCCGCTGTGCAGCATCTGATGGTTCTGTGGTATTCAGTAAAAAATATTCTACATGTACATGTTTGAACTTTATAACCCAATACTAGTACAACACTAGTGTTAGTTCAACACCCATAATATGGTTCAGATGGTCCCAACGGACCGGGGCTCTACCAACCCTGGATGGTTGTACTAAGGTCACTGTTTCCGAACACAGTGTCCTCCACCTTGTTTCATGCTGTCAAACTAACAACGTACACAGGCGCGTGCGCCGGTGCCCTTCGAGGGGGAATTCCGCGGCCTCCCCGGGAAATTTTTCAAAAAGTGAAGCAAAATCCTGCATTTTGAGCGAAAAAAGGGGGTGTTCCGGGCACCGAGGAACCCATACGGGGCACGCGTCTGTGTACATGTACATGTACACAGAGGCTGTGATTGTACATGTGCATGGTACTATCTACATTGTACATGATTGTACAGCATGGGGTAGTGCCTTTGCTGTTTGCGTTACGCAGACCTCACTGACTTGTCAGTTTGAGCACTCTGGCAAGGTACATGTACGTTCGGGCCTGGTTTAAATCTGGCTGTGGAAATTTATTTTTCATGGCCATCAGGTTCGGCCTCATTTAGTATGTGCTGCGTCGATGGGTCCACAAAGAACGAAACAGTTCTGTTTGCAGACTGTGTTCATGCTACAGTAGACAAAGTGTCTGTAGTCTTTGCTGCAAATAGTGCTCAATACCTCAAAAAGGGGCAGAGCTTACCACACGGGGCAGAACTACAGAGACCAAAATCGTTCTCGTAACTCCGAGTTTCGTGTTTCAAAAAACACGTCTGATGAGTGTTTTTTGAAACACGAAACTCGGAGTTACGAGAACGATTTTTGGTCTCTGTTGTTCTGCCCCGTGTCATGTTACAGTAGATGAAGATGTAGATGAAGGTACATGTACAAGTACAAGTAGTACACTTGTAGCGACCTCGCTGCATGACATCGGCTCTCTCACTTGTTATACGCATGTGCATGAAACATTTCTTCCTCTTTGTTCTAAAATAGAAGGATAACTGTTAGACACAGTTGCCCTCTTCTCGGGGTTGTAATTATTAGGCCCCAGGGTGGTATGTCCCTGGATTCATATGTCCCCCGTGAACAGATACGACCTCTGCCATCTTGGTGCCTATATTGGTGACCCCCGAAAAGTCTGAAGAAAAATTGACTGCCACCACCATAATTATTATAATATTTGAGGATTTCCCAGACTTGAAAATACCGCCATTCCGGCAACAGGCTCTCAGCTACACCAAATAGATAACTTGGCAAAGTTATCTACATGTATTTGGTGCAGCTGAGAGCCTGTTGCCGGAATTGTGGTATTTTCAAGTGCAAGAAATACGCTGCAATGGAGTTTGGGAATTCTGAAGAAAGATTTCCGAGACATGGTCTAAATTGAAGGGAGTTCCAATATAAATTACTGGGAGGGTGTAGGACGGAGATGGCAAATAGTGGATGCCTAATGAACAGCCTAGTTTAAAAAATACATAACATGACTGTGCTGAATGTTACCGAATGGTCATGTACTCAACAATACCAGTCCTATAGCCTCGGGGTATGCCTTGAAATACAGAAACAAAAAGAGAGCATGTCTGAGAAAACCAGAAAATTTGTGCAAGTCGATCTCCCCAATTTCGCGCAAATTTTCAGGTAAGTTTCCTTTTTGGGGTGTAGATCGACTGAGCAAAGCGCGCGGAAAAGGTTCTGAAGGGAACCTTGAATTATTGGCATACCCTCAAAAATGGTCGATCACATAATTATTGATGTGACTACAAACGAACCACGCCACAGCGTACAAGAACAAGCTACGAACAAACTCCATAAACCCAACATTTCCTCACCTTAGACGAGTTCTTGGGGCAGAGCCGCTTAGCCACGCCAGCATCCCAGAAGACGAGGGCCACCATCCCTGGACGCCACAAATGGTCGTCGTGAAAATAGCCAAATCACAAGCGCTGACAAAACAACGAGCTACGCCCTCAATCAGCAAACACCACACCGGCAGATAGTAACAAGACCTCTTCTAGCACTGAGGACGTGTCCCCCGTCATCCCTTTTGGGTTTTCTTGAAATAAACCTTTTTAAATTTTTCCACTCGCCCATGCTGAAATACATCCAAACTCATACTTGCGCGGGAAAGCTAGCCCCTCCGCGACGTCTAGTCAGCAATTTCAACTCCAACACCAATCCTAACGCTGCAGAACAAAGTGAATTGTTGACTCTGACAAGGAAAAGCAGCGGTGATCACTTGTCACTCCAAACGACAGCTTCTCCTTGCGCCACCAACATTTTTCGGTGCAAGAGTTGATGCGAAAGTGACTGAAGTTTTCAATTTGCGTGTAGTTTATGAATTTTTACGGCTATATGGCTGCGAAATAGGGATTGTCAGGCTGTGGCTCTCAGGTTTACTGGCAAGGCATTCCCGGCGGTAGGGGTGCGGAAGAGAAACGACTTCCTGGCGTGTTTCCTCACCCGTGGCAGAGTGAACACGAGTTGCCGGCGGCGACTACGCGTGGGGCAGTATCCTGCTGCTTCAAGAAGTCCTGGTTGGGAGGTGATCAAATGGAAGAACTCCAGAAGGCAGGCGGTATTCCTGCCCCAGCTAGGATAGACTTGGCCACCCCAGCTGTCTAAACAATGACGATTTGGGCTCGTCTGATAAGCAGGAGCATCTCTCAAGCCGCATAATTGCGTGAGCTACTCTGGCTTGCAGCCGTTCTAAGGTGAGCAGCTGGGTAGCAGAGATGGAGGACTCCCGTACAGGGGCAGCGTTGTCTAAACTTGCCTACTGTCTGTTAAATGGGCTCCTGGAAGCGAAGTGTTTGATTCAACAACAGTCCCAGAAGACGGTGACTAGTTGACGGCTGGATACCACCGATGCCCTCCGCAGCTCCTTCCTCTTTGAATAAGATAACAACGGTTTTGGACGGGTTAAAAGTTCAGCCTACTCGGTCGGCCATGCAAATGTGTCCTGCAGGGCAATCTCCAATGGGCTGGTACATTTGCTTCGTGTTTGGCCGACGGCGGTTGTTGTTGTTGTTGTTTTCTTTATTTGAATTCGCTAAAACCAAACGGACAGAACTGTGCAGTGACAAGGGAGCGAATGATGAGCGTCATAATCACTATGCATGAAAACATCTCAGGGCAAAATGAGACAGACTACAAGGAGAGACTGACTACAAGGAGGGACAGACTACAAGGAGAGACTGACTACAAGGAGGGACTGACTACAAGGAGAGACTGACTACAAGGAGGGACTGACTACAAGGAGAGACTGACTACAAGGAGGGACTGACTACAAGGAGGGACAGACTACAAGGAGGGACAGACTACAAGGAGGGACTGACTACAAGGAGGGACTGACTACAAGGAGGGACAGACTACAAGGAGGGACTGACTACAAGGAGGGACTGACTACAAGGAGAGACTGACTACAAGGAGAGACTGACTACAAGGAGAGACTGACTACAAGGAGAGACTGACTACAAGGAGGGACTGACTACAAGGAGAGACTGACTACAAGGAGGGACTGACTACAAGGAGGGACTGACTACAAGGAGGGACTGACTACAAGGAGAGACTGACTACAAGGAGGGACTGACTACAAGGAGGGACTGACTACAAGGAGAGACTGACTACAAAGATGGCGGTATCATCTGCGAACAAGTAAACATCAGTGTGCCAGTTGCGTTTTGAGGCACTGGGCAAGCTATTGATATGCACCAGGAAAAGCAATTACCCCGAGGTGGGAACCCTGGGGCGTGGGAAGGACAGAATGATGGTGTTGAACGCAGACGGTGGATGTACGTGAATTGAGGTAGTTCTTAAACCAACTCGTTGCCGTAGCATCGCAGATAGCCCTGAGTTACTGGAGAAACTATTCTTTATTTATTTTCATTTATTTATTTATGGATTCCCCAAAGGCCGAGGCCTAAGTCGAGGGGGTCTCCGTTCATAGCTTACTGGGAATATATCTGCAAAATTATAACATATAGATTGAGAAGAGGAAGGGTTATAACAAATGGGTACTGGAGAAGCTATTCATGCTGTCTACTGACATGATGCACAACTGCAGCGCTGCACCACTTCTCACCACATGTTCCCTGATTGTGACTGTTAGCATGGATTTGTTTCGCAGTAAATAACAAAACACAACAAACATGACAGTCAGTACATTGCTAACATAGCACTGACTGTGTACTGGCGGCGTATTAAAGTTTTGATGAAGTCGGATATCTTTTATTTATTTTTTATTTAAATAACCGACGAGGAGACAACAGTCGTAAAATAGCAATGAAAAAATATCAATTGTGCACTCATAACCATGTATAAACAATTAAAATGAAACAATTCCAGAACGTTTTCGTGTGACCATCATCAGTGGAACATCGTCACATAGTAAGAATCACTAAAACAACCAGTTATATAGCAAGAGTAACATGAAAAGAAGCGTGAGAATGCAGCACAGCTAGCGGTTATGCATAACGTGTGTAGTG